GGGGAGTTATTGAGTTCTCAAAACAGCTGCGTCTGGATTGTATCAGCGTGCCACGCGCCACCCTCGCTGATTGTATTCTATCTCACTCACCATAACGACACAGTGAAAAGATGAAATACATATACAATTGTACGTCTTCCGAAGTTTGTATCTAGAGTTTGTCGCACTTCGAATTACTGGATTGGACTAAGTTCAAAGGCACACACATCAAAACAGATCGAAAACCCGTAGAATGAAACGACAAGATACGATTTCCACGTGCGCAAACGTGCACGCATGCAGACATGCATATGTGAAAAATTACCCCAGCCGGGAGAGCTGATTCTCCGGGTGAAGACAAATCTTTGTCACAATTTCGACATAAACGGCGGCGGAGACGTCCAGAAGGGGGGACCTCTGAACTCTCTGTTCCAGGTCTTGTGGTTCCTGTCGTATCTTCATCTCGTTCCGGATGACTGTCTATTGGTTGCTGCGTTTCCTCTGTGTTACAGGAAGCGGCTGTTGGATCGTTGGCAGCGAAATGATTAGAATGGAAGTCGTATCAGTACAGACATTGAGAAAATAAAGTTAATTAAACAAAGCACCGATTCATGATGACTTAAAACGAAGGAAAAGAGCGAGGATTTCCGTTTGCCGGCATTGTGTATCAGACATGGGGGGAAATACATACAGATGAACGCCCGCTAAGAGCACTCAAATGGCAAAGGGATACTCTTGGGGATTAAAAAAACATTGGCGGTTTTACCGCGTCAGGTGTCATCTAAGCAACCAGTGGTGGATTTGAATTTTTTTATAACACACCTAAGTGTGGTGAACAGACGAGGTAACCCCCACAGTCACGAAGACCTGTTGTTCAGTGGTGGAAACCGGCAACTTGAGTCCCGGGAGTGGCGAACCACATAAGGCCTCGATAAGTTAGGTGTGATATTCAATCGGACAATAGCAGAGCTGCCTACCATNTACCATGAAAGGCTGGTGGCGGAGGCGCGGCGCGAAGTTCGGACCATAGGGTGCAAAGCACGCTGGTGACAGCGATTAAACCACTGCGCCACCACCGCCACCCACAATGGAAGTACAGATCGAAATGCTTACGATACTTGGTGTTTCATTTAATGTACCAAGCCGTTGTTCGGTCACGAGTGATCAGATGCAAAATACAATAAAAAGAAATGACTACCTCTCAGTGCATGACTTGCTGGGCGAATAAAAGTTTTGCCGAGTTACTGGTAGTTTTTTGTGCTACTCAGTCAAAAAAATGATAGCCAGATTATACAACTAGACGTGACAGCTGAAAAGTCACGGATTAAGTAGCTACTATACAGAAACATAAAGTGAGTACTTGGGTTGTGTATCCAATTAGAGACGTTACAATGTTTCATTAAGGGTTCCGAGTCCAGGATAATTTTATTAGACAAGTTGTGTGATCTTCCCTGTGGCAGTGGAATGGACTTTCAGAAAACACTCTTGTTCTACCGTTTTAAGTGTTTATTTCGTCCAGCAAAAGGAAATCCGCGAGAAACCTGAGTGGAGATCTATCAAGGTGAAGGTGAAACAAACGAATCCATGTACATTCACATCCGAACAAGATGGACATGTCACAACTTGGCCGAGTTAAAAAGAATAATAATCAGATCGGTATCTGCATGCGTTGTCCCAAACGACACATAAATCAGAGTACAAACAGATAGGCCAGGTGGTACGGGGAGCCTGGAGTAGACTGATCGGGTGCATGTACGCGACTGACTAATTGTGCGTAATTAAACAGTCCGTTTTAGAACACGGTAGAAGAAATGCACGTATACACCTAAACAACCGTAGGTGATATTTCTCAGACAGCCATTCACAACTAACTATCAGGACGTACCACAAGTAGATCAACTTGAGCATATTGTACTGAATCTGCGTGCCAGGATATTGGGCAACTCAGATTACAGATAAACTTATCAAATACGGTATTCACTATCAGTTAGGAAGACAATGGCGACCGTTTAAGACTCAGTGGCCATATAGGTGACAACGGGAAGGGATCTGTAAAAAGTACCCAGTGCTTCTAAACGAACCGTAAATGCTCTCAACTGAAAACCATGGATTCTGAAGCAATAGAAAGTATTGCAAAAGGATTTGTTGGTAGATCAGAAACTAGAAATATGCAATCCAGCGAAACCCTAAAGTGCCTATGAAAACCGAGTAGATGAAAGGAGGGAAAATGTATTTTGTGGCGTAGTCACAGATTTCAGAATGCATATGACCTCACACCAGTCCTATGATCAAAGTGCGGAGGATAATCAGTTGCATTGTTGTGTGATCACAGAGGAGTGAAGAGTGGAGCGATAGGAATTTTCCACATGCTTGAAGTACAGGATTTACTAGCCGCTTGCATAAAAGTTATGTTTAGGTTTAGAAAATTTGCCATCGTGATGATGTTACGATACAACATGAGCAATGCTTATTCACAAAAGGAAGATCGGTATGTAAGGTCTTTCACACAGGAATTTTATTTGGAGAAAGAAGCATATGCGTAAGACTGGATGAGTGGCATTAAAAGGTTACGCAAAAGCTTCCGTAATGGGCACTTACCGGCAGATTCAGCAGTATCTTCAACCTCACTCTCCGGCAAACTAGCCCCGACCGATTCGGAAAGTTCACTTGTCGGCGTGGAAGCGCGAGCGGCTGAGGAGCGTGACCAGCCAGAGGTGGGGAATTCGGATAGAGGAAGAAGCAGGGGAAATGGGGTTACTATTTGGCAATTCCAGTGTGGTAAGTGAGTAAGATGACAAGTGAAGATCTACAGTTTCAACAAAACCATCTGATACAAGAAAAAGCAATAGAAAAGCGGTAACAACTACAACAAACTCTGGAGGGCCTGTGGAAAAAGAGGCGGAGCAGGGGAAAAATATGTTGGAATAAAGGAAACAATAAACAAAACACTACTAGTTTTTTCGGACAGATTCGGACGTTTTACGGGTTACCAAGTACACCCACAATACGACACCACGCTCGCTATCAATTTTGTCCTCCGAAGGAAAAGTCCGATGGGTGCGTACACATAAAGGCACAGGCGAAATGCTATCCATCCATCTTGCATCCATAAGAGGTGGGAATGACAAAGGATATCACAAAACACCAACGAAGCATAAATTTAGCGGACGTTTACAGTGCTAAATGAATCTGAATGTGAGAAGAAGAAAGGGTTTAAGTGACTGGATTCGATCTGATCTTAAAACTCAAACAATTTTTTGATATTATTTATTCACATCCACGTACGTCTGAGATAGACTAGACAGATAAGCTATCAAATGAATACCGTCTAAGTCACTTAACCTGTGATGAATGCAATAAACCTGGTTTGTTAGAACTATGACTATCCGCGATGAAAAAAGAGCTCAACATTCAACCTCTAACGAGGGGTGTGTGGGTGTCCGTAAGCTACCGTTGAACAAAACGATCACTTCAGTTGTCACAGAAAACAACTATTCAGTGACGGTGTCACTCCAGCGGAAACTGATGCCAACTAATCATAAAATAATTCCGTTAGTAAACAGACAGAAATAGTGATGCGCGCAAAGAAAAAATAGAACTTCGGTAGACTAGCCGATTGGCACAGTATTGACGAGGATTTCATCCTCACCCAACCCAGAGAAGAAGAAATAGAAAATAACAACTTGGAAACGAACAAACAGAAGCTAACACGGACACGGATGGGGACCCAAAAACTGAAGCAAAACCGAATCGTGGCGAGCGGCAACGAATGACTTCATAGGACGGGAGGCGGGACGATGAAGCGCAGCAAACAATGCGGGCGGGGGATGGACAGTCAAGCGAGGCGTATCACATATCAAAACACGGATCTAACCGATTGTTGCGGGCGATAAAACCACAGCACGACCGTTCAAATTTTTCAAAGCCAGGCGTTTGTGCAACGCACCCTCGGCGCTTTTTCGACTTTCAATCAGACCGAGAACTGCTTGCCGGGTCACTGGAGCGAGGGAGAGAGAGCATGTGATTATATGAGATGACCACAAACGACGGTGAGATTGAAAAGTGGAGTGAAATCACACGTCGGTTCACTAGTTTAGTGAGTGCGAATATGCACTGAGAAATAGAGACGAGAATGAATGGACAAATGAAGCGGTGTAAACATGCGAGCGGCAGTCTTGGGATTAAGTGACGACAGGCGCAACTGGTATAAACAATAAAGGAATTCCACAGTATAGCAGCGATTGTTCATCACAGTTGAGACCCGTGTGTAACAGCGTTTGCCTATGAAGAGCCAAGGAGACGAAACATAAATTCACAGTAGAAACTGAAGAGAGAGGAAGAGAATCCCGAACATAGTTTGTGTCTCGAACATACATCGACTAGAGATGAGTAATCAGTACGCTTGCTTTTCAACAGACATGGATAATTCTTGGATGTAGTCAATTTATCAGTCATTTTTTAAGGGAAGCAGTATTGCTTTGAGATTCACAGACTAACAGATGGAATCAACTAGACTCAGAATGTTTGAAGAAGTTTGAGAATGATTAACGAAAATCGGAGCACCGCTTCAACACCTCACTACCAATAAACAGTGCCCACAAATGTTTAGGTCAGCGTGAAAAAGTGGCTATTCTGCAGTAATTGTACATGCGCATGCTAATTGTCGTGGTACGGTTGCAACGATATTCGATGAATCAAAATGCCACCGAGGGAGAAGAGTTGATCATGCAAAAGCAAAAGAACTCATAACAGTTAGTATGCAAAATTCATGTGCAATATTAATGGTAAGCGCGAAAGACCATGGACTCAGGAGATAGATTTATTAGAACATCTGAAATGAAGGTGAATTATGACACAAAACAGTGCATACGTCTAAACACGACTACATGGGACGATCGACTTGGAATAAGGAGTATTCACACCGGTGTATTATGACATACACAAACAAAGCTTGCGGCAAGATTAGCGGTGAGAAGTCAGACGATTCAAAAATCCAATCGAGGGAAGTTCCGCATAGTTGTGCCGAAGTCAAAAAAATGAAAACGGCCCTTGCAAAAAAAACGAGTGATTCATTGAATCACTTGACTAACCAAAGTGATCTGATGCTGTTTGTTTCATATAAATCCATTATCAGGATGGTGTGAACGGTAGCAAACCATTTTATGCTTCTTAAAATTAGAAATAAAAGTGCTATCAAAGGAAGAAAAAACAGGAGCGCGCAAGGCATCGGACATCGATGCAACTGGGATACAAAGAAAAACGATCGTTTATCTCAATGATCATGCAATGTTCATCACATCTCGCGTGAACCCCGGACAGGGGTTATGCAACCATTTGGGTGTACTGGTCCGGCAAAAAGCGGTAAGCAATCAAAAAATGGGAAAGATTAGTTAATGCTTTGCCTATTTACTAGAAACTTAGTTATTCAGTCCATAACTTCGTTAAAGAGGAAAGCCAATAACACTGAATAAAATGAACGAGGTCAAATGAATGCAGTCAAATGATAGAAACCGACTTTTCACTTGGCCACAGACGGTACTGTTTCAAACAGTTTGGCTCTTTGGAAAGAAACGTGACAGCAATTTTCTTTTTCAGTGCTAAATTAACTAGCCAGATTTAGTATAGAGTCAAAATGAGTACGGGGCTGAAGAACATAGTATGGGCGAGAGGGTTGGAACAATATGAGTTCACATTATTGAACAATACTCAGTTATGTAAGGTCTGTTCACTGCTGTTACGTAACTCATTTAGCGACGGACGGTCGTGGTAAATTAGAGCACCAGTAAGTTGTTACTGGGACCATAAATGGGTCGTATAACGACCGCCTCCGTGATGGATAGTAAGCAATCTCGGGATAATTCAATAAAATCAACCGGTTGGTTCGTCTAAGCTACATAGGTAACAACCACTGTTATTCATTTTTTATCAATTTTCTCCTACACGTTTGGTTTTACATACCGTTAACAGTTTTAACTAGTCAGAGCAGAGTCAGATATTGACCAAGAGTATTGTTTAATTCACCGCATGGACCGAAACACTCCATTTCGCTGTTTGTAGCTGATGGGTATTTTTTGATAATCAAACAATCGCGAAACCCTTTCGCCAACACGGTCGTTCTATGACATCACTGAGGAGGGACACGCAAAACATGATCAAACGTGCAGTATCCGGGTACAAGCCACGTTAAGATAGTGTCAGAAGAGATGGCTGAGATTAATTAGAATGCAACAAAAAAATGGAAAGTGCTACTCGTGAATGATTTCTTTGTCTACAGCAAGACAGAGAGACTGAACAATGATTTTTTTAACTAAGATATCACTGGAGTCGACTAAGTTAGCCAACAGATATGTGAATTAAAAAAGTGCGTATTCTGCGCATTCTTAATGCACACTGGATGATATGTGAACACAGAATGAGTCACATCTAACCATCACGCGATTTGAATTGAACTTTACATGTACATAGTTTACTAACTTAATTCCCAAAAGGCACTTATTCCTCGTCACAACATGAACGATAAAAACAAAATTTCAAACCAATAAGATTATGTATAATATACAAGTAACTTCGTTGTTCTGCATCTAATGAGTATACGAAGAGCATAAATTGGTTAAAATTCAGGAGCCGTATCGGAAGGAATGAGGGCAGGAACTTAAACAAAAAAAAACTCGTTTCGTGCACTAAA